TCCATTTTATTTAGACCAGTTGTGAAATTGAATTCAAAACAGACTAACTGCTTGCAATTGACCACCAAATTACAGTTATATCAAAATTGGTGTATTTTGCAAAACTGCAGTCGAAACCCTTTTTTGCATCACATCAGTCATATGAGCAACAACCAGAGGGTACTACTTGCAAAGGGATAAGAAGAAGTTGTGAAAAAACCTTTACATCTGTGATTTAATTTGTATATAATTAAAAATACCTTTTCAATTAAATATTTTTATATTTTTAAGTGAAATTATGTTTAGCTTGTAAACCAGGTAATTCTGAAAATTAAGAATAAAACAAAGAAAGCTGATTTATACTCAGAAATCAGGTAGTCTGCGTGTGTGCCGCAGTGAATGCAAATGTGCCTCCGCCCCTGCAGCAGACCCTCTGCTGCACCTCTCCAAAACTGTAGGTGACTGCAGAAAGTGCGGCACACAGGAGGCCTCTGATTGATCAAATCTACATCCGCTCTACACTATGCGTATTTCCTGTTTGGTACCTTACCGACTTGTTTTGTTTGTATAACCGCCATTGCAGAAAACGATTCGTGAAGTTGGACTAGCTAGAAGAGCGAGGTTTGCAAGAACCCTGGGACCCTTTTTCCTCCTTGATCCCCTCTCTTTTTTTGCCCTCATGTCCCTCTGTTGTTGCACAAACTTGCCCCCACTTCCTCACCGCCTCGGCCGTATCTCGACCCACAGCTAGTTCGTCATTGTTCCTGTTGCGTTGCGGCGTGGAATAAACATAGCGCAGACCATGCTTCAATATTGGGTATATATAAAAAAAAATATGCGACAAGCTCACTGCGACACACTGCTGCAGGAGTATAACCAGCTCTTTAAGTTTAAGCTGCCCGTTGAAGTCTGACTGTTTTTTTTTTTTTTTCTTTATTCTGGGTATTATGTATACCAGGATGTATTATAACTATAACTGCATATATTTGCATTTCAAGTTTACTTAATTTATACAGCGTATTTTATCATGTAAAGAAGGCACATGTGTTGGGAATGAAAATGTAGTTGTAATTCTTTTAACTATAACAATTAAAATTGTGTTTTCATTTTATGGGAGGTCCCAATCTGATATTGATATTTGCCAAAAAACAATAACTGGATTATAGAGGGCTGCATCAAAATCTCTAACATAGGCAGCTAATTGAAAAACTCCAGTTTTGTCCACTTTTGTCAAGCTTTTGTGTAACCTATTTGTAAATAATACCTGGGTTAATAGAGGTTGTTGTCATACCTATTGATGATTGTTGTCTGTTTTTCTAAACTTCCACAATACAAAATGAGAAAAAGAAAAGACTCATGCTTAGACTTAGACTTAGACAAACTTTATTTTCATCTTGTTTACACAGAGTGTACAGTATACAAACATAAATTTCGATGCGTACAGCTTTACAATAGTGAAATCAACATTACCATTTATAAAGTGCAGCATTTATCAGAATGTAAACAGTTTAGCAAAAACAGGAAAACCAGTTTAAAGTCATGGTGCTAAAGACATTCACATGGAAAGGTTCAGTGCAGTGCAAAATGAATAAATATGGTGCAAATATGCCGTAGAACATTGAGATGCGTTCTATTTAAAGGGGTTATGAAAAAAATCAGCCATATTGGCAAATACAATGTTTTCATGTGTGATGCAGAATCTTGAGTTTCAACAGTTTAACAGTCTGATGGCAGCAGGTGAAAAGCTGTTGCAGAACCAGCTGGGACTGCAGCGAATGCTCCAAAGCCTCTTCCCAGAGGGCAGCAGGGAGAACAGTCCATGGTATGGGTGTGAGGTGTCACTGATGATGTTACGGGCTTTGGACAAAACGTCTAATATTGTATCGGTCAATACTAAAAGCTGCCATTTCTCTGCCGTATCATAAATTTAAAACAACTTTATTAGGCAAACTTGTGCTTCCTAGCGATTTTATTCATAAGCAACTTTTTTGCTTGTCATTTGCAAATAAAGATAATGAAAAGGGTTTTATGCTTCACAGATTCTTAAGGGACATTTGACATTATAAACTGGATATGGAAAATTCAAATGATATGATTGCGAGTTTTTGAAGTGGCAACCTAATGTAAGAGGCTTTAGTGAAGGTCTTTGTAACATTTTACTGTATTTGTAGTGTTGATACCAATAGTATGGAGGGATGGTTGAGGGCTTCTGTGTGAGTGCAGTGAGCGTGTTGGTTACCCTTCACTTGACTGTCAATCCCGAGAGTGTCTGCCTCCTCCTGCTTCTGGATTATGAGGTGAACACCGTCTGAATGCCGACCAGCACCAGGTTCAGTCTCTTTCTCTTTTGTCCCTGTGTGCCACTCTTCTCTGTCTTTCTGAAATAGATGTATTCACATGACACCACACACATGCTGGCTGTTCACACCTGCTGATTCTCTGTGTGACACACACACACAAAAAAACACACAGCAACTCATGCAGCTCATCCCCAGTGAACTGATAGTAAGTTGGCTTACCAGATTCAATTTATTTTTTTTTGGATTTTTTTTATTTTATTTTATTTTTTTTGTGAGGAGGTTCACAGACAAACTCTTGGCATGTAATCAATTATCAGTTTGTTTTACTGTGTAACACTGAGAGGGAGAGATGTTTTTTTTTGCACTGTTGGGTCGAGCAATTACTCTGATTGACCCAGTGGGAGCGCTATAATTACAGGTCAATAGTGTCCTTTTAAAGGTGATGTCTTTGGTTCAGCTTGTGGCAGCAAACCAAGCAACTATGTTGCACAAATGCTCAAATTTTTGCTTAAGGGCATTTATAAATACTTTTTCCAGTTGATGCAAAAACGTTGCTCATTTTGTTGTGCACTTAAATTGATTAGCAACATTGCTGTAGCCAAATAATGAGGCAAAATGGGAAATTATTTGTTGCATCCAGCTTTTGACATCTAATAGGATGAAGATGGTTGGTTGTTAGTGTTAATATAGAGAAATATATCTAAAAAGGAGAAAATCTGCTTTTAGAATATGTCCTCATTTTATTTTTCAACTTGATTAAATCATAAAGAGTAGTGTTAAAAACTATTTCAGAGTTATAGCTCTTGTCACATGCAGCGTTTTTGCATTCTTGTGAGATCTTTTGGTAAACATAAAGCTGTTCAAAAATAACACAGAATTTGTAGTGATTAAAACATTTTAGTGGAATCCCACTTGTGTTGTGCTGATGATCGTCTATTGATTATTCAGCTTGATTAGGGTTATGTTCTGGGACTGCGCACAACATGTCCCCAGTTTTGCATCAGACTTGCCGTGAATGAGACACGCTGACCCGCGGGGCGCTCCGGTCACCGCTCATCAGGCCTGACACTGCTCGATGGTGACAATGCTAATTGTCAACATCTGGGAAGTGCTTGCCATTCTCCTCTCCTGCGCAGTCTGAAACGTGGTGATCTGTCATAACATGTCAGAGGAAATTAGCATCAGCTGAACATAGATGGCTGGAAGAGGGAGGTGGGGGGGGGATCCCGCCAATTTTATAAGGAGCTTTACTGAGAGGGGGGTGGAGAGATACTGTCCAAGCTGTAGGAGGATAAATAATAAAAAAAAAATCACTTTAGCAGAATGAATGATGGAAATATTTTTCATTAGTTCCCCATATTATCTCTCTTTCATATCTGTACCTCTGAAAATAATGTTATTCTTTAAATTTTTCCAAAACTATAAAGAACTCCATTAAAGTTTAAACCAGTTATAGTTGTTGTCTATATATTATATGGATAACCACAGGTGCATCTCGGCAAATAAAAATATTCGTTATTAAAAATCTATCAATAATTTAGTCCTTTGCAGAAATATCAGACTATTGTGATGATGCAGACTTTATAAGTCACTAAGTGAAATACTTTGAAAATCAATCGATATTGGAGGAAATGACAAGACTTTATTACTTTTATATTTTGATTGCAAAAATTAAGATCAATTCAATAACAAGAAAAGTACCTGAATATGTTTAAAAAAAAACAACCAACAATGCTTCTATAAAAAAATCTTGAAAATCCTCTCAGAGTGAAAAAAACACAGATTAAGGTACTTACATTTTTTTTTAATCTACTTAGCTTATTAACTTTTTAACTTAATTTACAGTAGGTATCACATCATCCAAGCGCTCATCTAATTGTTCAAATGCCAAAATGACATGTTCAGCCACGTAGTAGTATCATTGCTGAATTTTTATATATAAACCTTGTGCTTCTACATAGACAAGCGTTATGGAAGTGACGAAAACAGTAACTTGCTCTATAAAGGGGTGCGATGCCAGAGGAAACTGGTTGGTCATTTGTGAGATAACTATGGGAACTAAACAAGATGACATTAGCTAATTAATTAGCCATGTTATCTGAACTATTAGCCTTTTGTAGGTTTTTTATTTTCCCAGCAGAACATGGCAAGGCTGATGTGTGGCACCCCTGTAGCTCCAAACATTTGCTCCATCTAGTTCTTTTTTTGACTACATTTATTAGCAGCACTATGGAGGTCTAAGTACTTTTGTTATTATGAATCCATACATCTTTTTAAAAGTTAAGGATTTTTTATTTTTATTTAGTCTATTGGCCCAGTTATTCAAATTCACTTTCTAAAATTGTAGCTCAAACTAAATGTTTGAACAAGATTTTCTCCAAATAAAGCTGGAAGAATGATGTGATTTCAAACATTCATTAATATAATAAAATAAAAAGTTTTAAGCCTGTGCCACAAAAAAATAGATCAAATTCAGGAGAAATCAGTCTTTAATTTGTATATATTTAAAAAGAAAAGGTACAAATACATCGATAAAAATATGTTTTTAGGGGATTTTGATGCTGCTTTTTTTTAGAAATAATCCATCACACAGTCTTTGTAGGATGGAGAATCTCACGTGCTTGTGGTAATTATTTTAGAAAAAGGTTGTAATCATAAGTTTCCGAATAGAGAGGGGTACAGATACCCTAATAATGTTAGATTTTATTTTTTTCCTGACAGGAAAGTGACAGTTTGTGGTGGGATGCCTTTGCTACCGAGTTTTTCGAGGAAGATGCTACCCTCACCCTCTCTTTCTGCCTCGAAGATGGACCAAAGAGATACAGTAAGAACACAACATACATATTTAAAAAAAAAATTTTTTTTTTAAGGAATGTTTAGGAGCTGTAAAGAAGTGAAGTCATCCTCAGCTTAAGAGTTTTTTTTCCCAGCTCTAATTCCAATGTGTTCAGTCATTCAACATATTCCATGCTGCACTCCCTGCTGCTTTGATTCTAAGCAAATGCTTTATCTTACTTTTATAAGCTTTACATTTTGCACTTTATGAGTCATTTTGCTTATCTGGAACCCGTAAATATCTTCCCAATGTTAATCATCAGCCTTCGGTATTGTCAATAATATGGATGTTTATGACATTGTAGGAGGGGAGATTTTAAAGCAGGTTGCAAAAGCAAAGCTTTGTGTTATGTTTCTGCAGCAAAACCGTAGCCTTCTTATAGATCACGACAGCTGTCTGTGGTGCTCATTATGCTTTCAAATGATTTTTTTGCAAAAGTGTAAAAAAAAAGAGAAAAATATTGTATTTTTTACATTTCTTTTACCTGCTACTTCCTTCCTTTTCAAAGTTTCCAGTCAAATAATTGATTTGTTACATTTCCCAAAATACCTCTATAGCACCTCACTGCAAACAACAACAAATGTGTGAACTTTACCAGTAAAGATTTTTACCCTGAAACATTTTTTTTGCTGTTTGTGTGTGTCTCTCTCTTTACTGTATCTTTTACTCTGTAAAACATTTGCTGAGCATTGATGCAATGTCACACCTAAATACTTGCAAATTATTTCTAAAAATGTCATCATAAGATAAACATACGGGTCTCAGTATCCACAAAGTACCTGTTTTATGTAAACACTGTTCTAAGATTATATACATTTTGATTGTTTACAGTTTAAAAACAAGCAGAGAATGTTTTGATGCCTGATGTGGTAACAAACTTTACAATTATTGATATGTAAAAAACACAAAAGTTTCCTTTCTAATTAGAATTTTTTTCCGATATAGTTGCAAGAGATTTGGACTGCATAAAACTAATTCTTGACCTAGTAGATAGAAGAAAAGTAAATTCATTGTGATTATAAAGGATACAGAACAATTGTTAGTCCGCCTAAAAACATTATCCATACACAAAGATGAAATCTTTCTTACTGCCCCAAGAATCAAAATAATTTAGTATTCAGTGTCATTTGAGCCATAAAAATAATAAAGGGGACAAAGATCCACTTTTGGTTCTGGAGCTGCTGGTTGCAGAACTCTGGTCAGGAGAAAAATGTAATTAAAGTCACAATTGCAACTTCATGAAAAAAAGAAAACAGAAAGTTGCACGTTTTATTTGAAAATTGCTCAATCCTAATGGCATTCAGGTGCCAGTAGAATAAAATTATCTTATATTTTCTATCTGATTATTGGGTAGGTCAAGCAGACACATCATGACCACAGGGCTGCGTGTTCACCCACCCTTTTATGTTGCTAAAATTACCCTCACCTCTTGATGCATGACTCAAACCACATCTCTGAGCATTTGCTCATGTATCTGGCACCAGTGGATCTTTTAAACCCAGTACATGCGTTGAATGGACTGTTTTTTTTTTCAGCACCAACCATACACTCTTGATTGGATCTGGAGAAATCGGAACCTAGATCAAAAACTCAAACTCTTTGGGTGTTCCTTACAGTACACCATTACTCAATCTTTTTTGCTTTGTGGCAGGTAGCTTTGTGTTGTTAAAAAAAGGCATCAGTGCATAATATTTTTTTATGATTTACATTGTATTCAGTAGTGCTACGGTAGGTGAAATGGGCCAATTTTACACCCAAATGGATGGCAGGACTCAAGACTTCTTTCATAACATTGTCCAAAGCATGCAGTCTCTTCCAGATGATTTCTTTTCCCATACTGCATTCTGGTTCCACGTGTTCTCCTGCAGAGGGATACATATTTACCTGGGCACCCACAAGATATAAAAAAGCATGATTCATTAGATCAGGAAACCTTCTTACAATTGCAGTGTGATCCTGTTACGATGCTTGTTGGTATTTTTGGCAGCTTACAGGGGTCAGAGCTGGTCTGCAGATATGAGACTCTTTATGTAATAAATCACCAGGCCCCGGCTGCAACAATTTGGCCCTTTTCAAAGTTGCTTGAATCCTTATGTTTAGCCATTTTTTCTGCATTAAGAACATTACATTTTTGCTTCTTTTTGTTTGCAATCCATTAGCAGATACATGAAGTGATGAAAAGATAATCAGGGCTTTTACTTAATATCTAGGTAGTTCAATGTTATGCCTGTTCGGTGTATGTGGGATTTTGCTTTTGTTCTGTATCCTGATGACTCATTCATTTTCATATCTTAAGAGATTGCCGTCTTTTAGTTTAGGAACTTCATTCTGAGCTCAAGAAACAGTAAGACTACAGCTTTACAGTTTGCTATCTAAAGTAAAAAGCAGATGCTCTTACTAAGTTTGTGATTTCGTCCTCCATCACATCTGCATGTTTTGTTCTGAAACATATTGAAAATCACACGGAGACAGATAAGGACGCAGAGCACTGAAACGAGCAGATGTGCGAGTGGCATCGGCCGCGTTTTTCTGCATGTGTGTCACAGCTCACCAGTGGAGGAGGAGGAGGGAGCGAAAGTGAGAACAGAGAGACGTGCAGTGGAGGATTGTTGTTAGCTGGGCTCAGCTTTGCTTTTCAAATGTAAAAATAAAAATCCCCACCGGTGTGGAGATGGTAACCCTGTTCCCCCGGGAACAAGAGGCTTAACACCATGGCGATGATGACTCACCGTCAGTCGTATCACATTCAGGTGCGCTAAGTTGCCCAAATGTTTGCAAAAGACCTACACCAGCAAACTTTAAATATACTCTCGCTTTTGTTTTGTTTTTTGTCTATGAAAAAAGTAAGCATTTAGCACGTATTGTTCAAATGTGTTCATAACCCACTACTGGAAATTAATATGATCAACAATAAAGATTTTAGGAAAGTCCTAATAGAATTCACTAGAGTCTGTCTCTGGTTTTGGCCAAAGCTCTAAACAGCTTGACTCAGCAAGGAGAAGGAATTTTTACAGTAAAGCTAATTAAAGCTTTGAGAATAGAAATCCTATTAGTTATATAACAGTGCCATGGCGGTAAACACACCAAAACAATAAAAAAATCTTACAACAGTTACCAGTCTCCTGGAGTCCCTAGCCTAATTAATGAAATCAATCAAATTTCGTTTCCTATAAAACATAATTTGGGTTTTTCTTTTAATGTCTCGGCTGTCATGTCATGGTAAGAAATCAGTTTGGCACATTCTCCTGTCAGAATGTCCCTACATTCCTCACTGTTAACAAAACATATTTTTACATTTCAACATTACATGCATACAAAATAAATAATATTCATGTGTAGCGTGATTAAAAAAGAAAGATCTAACCTTGTACCTTTTAAAGGATTGTAGTTTTAATGAGGAAACCTCTGGTATCGTTGTTATATTTTTAGCTGAGAGATACAAGACCGTGAACGTATCACACATAATTATGGGTAGTGGTGGCCTAGTGGTTTAGGGCATAGAGCTTGGAACCCTGAGGTTCTGAGTTTGGGCCCCAATCCCACAGACTGCCACTCTGGGTCTCTGAGCAAGACACTTAACCCCACACTGCTCCCCGGGTGCCACACAATGGCAGTCCACTGCTCCCCAATGGGATGGGTTAAATGGAGAGGTACATTTCTCCAATTTGAGATCAATAAAGTCCAATTATTATCATTATTATTACCTCTTAGCCAATATATACCCAGAAGAAAGAAACACATTTAGAATGAGGGATGCATAATATATTGGCATTAATATCTAGATTGCCTGATGTGGATCATTTTAAAGCATTTTGGTATCATATCAGCAGAGAAGATACTAGTAACCAATGTTTACTTCCATATACGTAATTGCTGTTTTTGTTGCATGAGGGCAAGTTGCTATTTGGACATGGTACAGTGATTGTGATGCAGCTTAGAATTGTGGTTGCTTAATTGCAGCAGACAAGCTTCTGTGGTCAGTAAATATCAGGTATTAGCCATGATGGCACAATTAGCGTCGAATATTGGCCCAAAATGCAATATTGTCGCATCCCTACTAAAAGCATATTAATAAAAATATGTCATTGTTATTTATCAAGGCTTTCTTAGGTTGTCTATTCTTTACAGTTAATTTGCTGTAATTAAGTATTCACATGTTAGCTATAAAGTAAATGGTCCTAGAAATGCTAAAAGTGATCTGATTAATATTAATATTAAATAATCTCACAGCTTCAATTCACATCCTATTGTCTTATATTTCTCTTTACTTCCCTATGTGGAGCCTTAAGATAACACAATCTGTTTAAAATGAATCTACCCCCTGTTTATTAAAAACTGCCACCTCCTGTGCATTCTATAATATTTATCTACTTTAGACGTAATGTAGATTATAGAAAATTCTTTTAAGTTAAGTTTTATCAAAATGTTGACACAGCCAGTGTGAAGTTAGACGTTTTAGATTTAAAGGCTATATGGCTCCATTTCCTTACCTGCCCTCTCCACGTTTAATAAAAAAAATGCACATGCACAACCCTGTACCGGTTCCCGAGAGGGAACACCTGTTAAACATGTGCGAGAGCATGCACGAGTAGATTTCTACTCATGCACGCTGTTAAAAAGTTGCTGTTTGCATCGCTCATACAAGATTACTTTCCAAAAGAAGATTTGCAATTTTTCCACTATGTCAGACTCACCAAAGTGAAAATGGGTACGAACACGTAGGACAGCCTTAAGTAAACATATCACCAGAATGATTGACAATTAGAAGGACCACTTATTTTGATGATCCACCCTAAAAAGACCATCTACTTTACTAAAACTAGAACTTTACTAAACTTTTTAAGAGTTGAGAACCATGACCAGAACTGTAGAGCTACAACATGAACAAGCAACAAATGGACCTGCAGCAACCATGAGAGAATAAAGCTGTAGAATCTGGGGCGTTGTTTTCTTTTGTTGGTCCAAAAAAATTCATTGCTAGTCTATGC